TAGGGCTGTGCGATATGACCAAAATCTCATATCCCGATATAAGAATTCTATCGTCCTGATAACGATATAAATCACAAAAATGTAACATTTTCTGTAAATTCTGTGAATCTCGGGCAGCTCGAATTGCGGGAAGTGTTTCCAGCTGGGCGTCGTGTACCTGGAGTCGAGTGTTTTAACAGATGCATGAAACTATACATTTTTAGACATAAGTTGTCACGGCCACCGTTTTCTTTGTGAGTATTTATTACACGGCGTGCTGCGGGGAAAAGCCTGCTCTAACGTTTGAGTCTATGGTTTATTTTTTTTAGCACCTGGCGGCTCTTTTTTGCTTCTCATCCGTAAATACTGCACACTCTTTCATGCGATTCAGTTTATTTTGAAAAGTTTCAACAGGATCTTGAGCTTTATCGTGAAAGGTTTATGTGGAAAATAAACAAGCAGACACGCAATGATTTTACCATCGTTGTTGCTAACGACAATGCATAAAAACAGTCGCTTGTCCGTCCATAGTGTGGTTATATTAAATATAAGAGAAAGAGAGAACTTTAAGAAATTAATATAGCCACTACAGTGACCATCAAAACGATGAAAAAAATATTGCCGTAAACAGTTTATTTTGCGACACCACGAAACAAACGATAGCGTAAAATGAAACGATAGATGTTTTTATATCGTCATCCGATATATATCGTTATATCGAACAGCCCTAGGCAGCTGTTAATGAAAATTTCCCATTTAGTTGTCATTTTCCCTTCCAAAATATGACCGAAATGGGGGAAAAAAAGCAAAATTGATAACTCTACTTTTTAAGATTATCCTTATATGCTAGGGCTGTACTGAACCTCATTTTTCACAATACCAGTGTAAATTTTTAAATGATATTAAAATGTCATATCAATATATTATTGACACACCAATGGCATGCATTTACTTTCCCTAGCACACACTACAATGACTCAAGCCCAGACACATCTGAGAGCAAGAACTGCATGTTTGCCTCTATTAACCACTTTGTACCTAATAAGGGAGCTACCATATCAAGCTCCGACAAAGCACAGTGCTTTCCAAAACATGCAAGAAAACTGATCCCACTAAAGGTGGAAACGACAAACTTGTTCCACCAGTTGACGCAAAAACACACCGTTCTACACAAACGGGCTATTAAGGCACATGAGGAGGAGATACTAGGAGCTGGTGATGTGTGACCTAAAGTAAACAAATGCCTCACGTAAGCACTGCAGGAGCACTTCCTAGCTGCACATAATGCAACTAGGGAGTAACCCTTTCCTATCATAAGTTCCTATGTGATAGGAAAATCAAATGGTGGATGGAAATTACTCATGTAGTTGCACGGTGGTAAAAAGAGGGCTTTAAGCAGTCGGTTAAAAAGGTCGACCCAATATACAACATCCCAGGTTGAAAATGTGTTTTAAATATATTTTTTTATGTGACAATACTGTGCATATGGTTAAGTAGTAGCTGTCAAACTAAAGTGTGGCAGTTATTTTATGCTTTTTTGGAGAAAACATTTGACTTATGTGGGATGAAAAATGCCCTTCATTTTGATCACACTAATAAATGCTGCAGCCTGCAAGCAGCAACCACTAAAAAAATGTTTTGTGTTTTTTTGTGCACTGTCAAAAATCGTATTACTGTATTCTCCAAAAGACTGATATAATTTTGAGGCTACAGTATGCTTTACCTAATATCACTTGATTTTATAATCACATGTTTATTTTTTACCTCCCATTCCGAGGTGCAGCTCTTTCATGATGATGTTGTTCTGAAAGTAAGGGTTTCTTCTGAAGTGGAAGCGAATTCTGTAGCCCAATTTGTTATTCTTGAAAGACTCAATCTGAGGAAAAAGGTAGGAAAACGTGTTTTATTCCATTCTACAAATATGCATCAGCTGAGATTGTGAGAATAAAATGTCCTACCTCAAGATCAGTCATGTAACTAAGAGCGTCTTCATCGGTCTCATCAATGTGAGCTGAGAGATGAGGATGGTTCAACAGCTGGCACATCGAAGTTACGAAAAAACAACATGACAAATTCACTTTAAATACTCAAACACAGCATGGCAATCGGTCGAGCGTTACACTTTCATATTTTAAGGATACAGCTGTCACCCAAAACCCAGGGATCGTTTTCGTGATGGAACTTCTCTGATCCAGATGCGGGCGCCGCTGACGACTAATCTTCAACTCCAGCCTCTGGTGAAGCCGGGCACTTTTCTTCTCAAGGGCTTCCAGCCTCATCTGTACTTGTGCCAGGAGAGCCACCGACTGCCTCAACTCTGGAGCCATCTTTACAGACACAATGGCACATTCGCCATCATCGTTTTCCTCATTCTCTGATGGGAAAGAGGAGCTCGGTGTGGAGGAAGAGCCAGATACCGATTCATCGCCCTCATCTGCTTCAGGCACATCATCTGTATCCTCTCTGTCAGTGCTATGCACAGATGTGGAGCTATCTGCTGCCGCTGCTTGTGTTTTGGAGCCAACTTTTGAGGACTGGTGTCCCCCGCGCTGTTTAAATTTACTCCCTTGTTTCACCTGCTTGGCCTTTTCAGATGAACAAGGAGTCTCTTGGCTGTCTTCTCCGTCCCCCCCTGTGAGACTGGCCAGCGCTTCAGCAGCTGCTATGGCAGCTGAGTCGGATTTGTCCAGAGGAGCTGTGGGACGCCGCTCTGTTTCTACTGTTTTCTCTGCTTTGTCTTTTGCATGAGCCGACTCCTGCTGATCCGAGGACTGCGGCTTGTCGGTGCTACTGCAGGTGTGGTGGCTGTCAGCGCTGGAGCTGTTGACAGGCTGTGAAGTGGTGCCACCAGCGCCCTCTGAACCCTGATCTGCTTTCACAGCGGCTTGTTCCTCTTTACCATCTTTCGACTGGCCCTCACTGCCAGCTGCTTCTTTACTCTCGGCTTCACTGTCTTTGCAACTTTCAGAACTAACCCTCGTTTCATCTGGCTGGTCACTAAGTTTTGCGGACTTGCTGGGAATCAGGCTGCCTTCATCCTTATCGGGTGATGGACACCGTTTCCTCGATGCAGAGTCAGCGGACTGTTTGCAGTCCATCACTTCACTCATGCTAGCTAGCTAGCTAACAAGCTAGGTAGCTCGCAAGCTCGTATAAAATAAACTGAAGTGCAAATAACTACACGACTGCGCTCGTTTCCGAGATAACACCTTTGGGGTTGACGTTGTGATCGTAGCTCAACCTACATTCTCAATAAAGCAACAACAGGAAGCAGTGCTCGTATTTCTCTGCGGCCTTGCGGAACGCTGAAAATTAGCACGCTGCTGCTAACGCTGGTTAGCTCGGCTTACCCAATTCTTGCGTCCTCGCAGTCACGGCCGTACCACATGCTCACAAATAAAATCCTAACAAGAAACACTCGTTCCAGATAATCAAGCCCTGCCACGCTATATCGCCGTTAAGCCGCAATCCGCCTTCTTTATAATAGTTTGTTTTTGCATTATCCGTTAGCTTACTATTCGTGCACCGACGTGATAGAAAAACAATCCTGTGATTGGCTGTGGTACGTCGCGCTAAAATGTCTCGACCAATCACATACAAGGGTGTGTTTACACGGTAATCTGTAGCGGAGCCGCCGCGGGTTTACTGCGCAGCAAGCGCAGGGTCTCGAAAACCATTGCGACAATACTGGGAAACATATTTAAGTGTTTACACGACAGCAGTAAAAAGAGACACTTTACACCACGCTGAACAAATTATGTTAAAATGAAAATATGCACATTAGCCCACAAAAAACCCGCCAGATGTAAGCAAGGACTTGGCTTTGTTTGCATATGAAATCATCTGCGGTGCCCACAGTGGCTTGTGTGGTGGTTAACTGAGTATTGCAGAACGGATGCAGCTTGGGCCTATTCCAAGAGACGATTTCACACATATAGCCATGCATCATAGCCTATTCTGTATATAGGTTGCGTAGCTTCTCCCCCTCGTCAAGTTGCTGAAGGTCATACAGAAGAATCACAAACCAGAGGTCATCTGATCCAAGATAATCAAATCCAAGCAAGAGTCATCTACAGCCAGGGCAACCCCCCGCAAAAAAAGATTTGGAATTATAAGATTATCTTGTAGCATTTCATAATGCAGCCCACAACTAACGGTGTGATTACACTAGAATTAAATGAGATTGCTATGTATTTTATCTGAATTACAATGTAATTACAATTACCTAGCGGTACTTGGCAGTAGATGTATTAAAATAAGGAGGTATCAATTCAAGTTTTTACAGAGAAGAAGCAATTAAAAGTAATATTAAGTAATGCTCAGCTTCCAGGTATTATAGCACTATAAATATAGCATGCCATAATGTTCATCATGGATGCTCCACTATTGAGTTCTCCATTTGTATTATATATAAAATGTGATAAGGACTGTTCTCCCTTTGCTACACCGGCAAATATCACAGGGCACAGGTCCATACGGTCTTATCATTACAGAGGCCATAGTCTGCATTGCTTGCTGGTGTTTCTTGTTTCTGCTATATGCACGCCAATACAAGGTATAATTGAAATTTAAAATACCAAGTTAAGCCACAAAAAGTGCAGTGATTTTAGAGTGTAAGCTGGAAAATTTGTGTTTTTCTGCTAAAATACCTGGAAATAATACATTTCTTAAAATTATTGGCAGTGTAATTTTTTTCCTGTGAAAACCTGAATTGTATCAACTACAAAGTGTTCCTAGGTAAATATATCATCCCCCTAGATACCCTTGCACTTTGAGAATTTTGTTCTTGGCAAGCTCTCAAATCTTACTTACTTAGTATTTCACGGCCTGTACAATAAAATACGGGCGGTATTATGAAGTCCAATCAATAATCTTTGCATAATTTCATATTTTTATCACAATGGGTTATACTTTAGATTTTCTTACCATCTCAACCACTGCTACAACTGGACTGGTATTAAATTACACTGACAGCTGTTCATACTGAATGGCAAAACTTTCCCCAGTGTGGTGGAATTAAAATGGCCTAAACTCTAACGAACATAATGTATCACAGACTGAGTCTTCGATGAATTCAGGCTTGGAGAGAGGGAATTTGGAGACGCCATCTTGAAATAATAATTCCCACCTGATTGTCTCTAAAGATGTTTCAATAAATACGCATGCAGCCTGTCTTTCCAACGCTGGCATTTATGACATTAATATGCTATTTCCAGCAGCAGGCGCAGAGCCAGGCCGAACCAAATAGAACAAGGGGGAGCCGCAGGATTATACCAACTTATCAACAAATTTAGGGCATGGAAACCCGGTAGGTCAGTGCTAAAATTAGGGGCTGGTGTTTCAACGACAGCAGTCAAACTGCCGTGCATAAAGTCATGTAAAACCAGGGGATACACTATCACAAGGGCTGGCAGTAAAGACAAGGTTTCCATGGGTGACATTTAACGCCACACGTTGACTGAAGAGGCACTGTGCGTTACGCAGCGACAGCGCTGGATCATCACTGACCACAGCTGCGCAAATCATGAGTATTTGGTAGCTCTTTAGAGACGCCATATGTAGTCTTCGGCTCCTTTGAGTTTTTACGTCTGTAAAAATAATTTTAAAAAATGTCTTTTTTGACCATACCAAGCCAAGAGGGTCTTTTTAAAACGATAAAAACAGGCAAATTAGGCGAGGACGCAGATAGTAGGTCACCAATGGACGCCGAAGATAACCAGAATGATGACGATGATGATGATGACACCGAGGACGTTCGCTTCATCCCAAGATGCTCCCCGGTGCCCAGAAAGCGAGGTGCGTCAATTTTCGATGAGACCGCTGAGTATATGCGGATCCACTTGGCGTTGTCCGCCGGGAAGAGAGTGTCATTTGCCGACACAACAGGTGGGGATTTGGTGGATGTGAAGGAATTTGTTGCCTTTGATTCGGACGATGAAGACTCTATTGCAAAGTGGGACGAAGAGGAGGCAAAGTATCGGAAGCCTGAGCTAGAGCCGATCTATCATGTGCTCCCAGAGTTTCATGCACCCACCGGTAATGCTCTGCTGCAGGCTGTGCGCACCAATAAAGTGGAGGTTGAGCAGATGTCTCCAGCTGAGAACGATCCTCTCGCCTTCACAGGGGTAATACGAGTGCTGAACATTTCCTTCCACAAAGCAGTTTATGTCAGATCGACAATGGACAATTGGGCCACTTACTTTGATCACCCAGCAGAGTATGTCCCGGGATCTCACGATGGAGAAACTGACAAGTTCTCCTTCAAGCTGTCTTTTGCGCCACCTTATACCACACATGGCTCTCGCATTGAGTTCGTTGTACGCTATGAAACCTCTGATGGTGATTACTGGGCTAATAACTCCTCTATGAACTATGTGGTGACTCTGCTCCTGACCTATGAAGATGATTCAGCTCATACAAACATCAACACACAGGAAATGAAAAGTATCCTGAAACCTCCAAAAGCTTACAGGTACATTTCCTGTCACATTTGTCAGTTAGACACCCCAGAGGACAAAGACTTAGACGGGTATTTGTGTAATATTTTGCCCAGTCTCTGCCTCCCATGCCTTTTATCCGAAACATCCACAGAATTATAAGGTCACCATCAAGCCTCAGTCAGTTTAAGGTCCTCAAAAGCTGTCCATCCTATTAATCAGAAGAGAAATGCGGAGGCTCATAGACCAAAAGGTTTTACTGAAAAAAAGGGATAATTTCTATATTAGTTATGTAATTATAAAAAGAGATACGGATTCCACAAAGGTAGGGGCTGTGCAACAGCTACAAAACTATACCTGCTTACTAATTCACTGAGAGGTTTATGCCTGGAATGAGTATTCAGCTCAATGTAGTGGTCCTGCCCAGAGAGTGCATCTAGCCCAGAAAGAACTCAAACAGAGCAGGCTGTTCATAAGAAAAGTGGTTCGGTCTGTTGCATAATCAAAGTACAAGGACAACAGGAAAGCTACCTAGATGAGTTCACAAAGTTTTCCCATTACTAGTTTTACCTTTTACAATTACAGGCTGTAGCAAGGTACAGGAAGAGATTTTTTGGAAGAACACTCCCTGCTCAGTGTATCAATCACCCAGCGGTGTCTGAGGCATTCAGAATAGGAAAAGGGCAGGTGTCGTTTTCAGCCGTGGCGTTTCCCTGCACTAAAATTTACCTCTGACCTTTTCTATTGGAGTCATCAGGGGAGCAAAACCATTTCAAAGGAACGGATTGGCTCCTCTCCCTTTTGTAATTAAAGGCTGGCACACAGACCCTTTTTGCTTCATTCGCTACTCCATTAAACTCAGCTAATCCCCTGATTTACTGTAATATCAACATGAAAGTTTGTGATAAATCTCACAATGTTCAAGCTTGGGCAGCACAAGCAATAGTTGCTTGTGTTGCCCAAGCTTGTGAGGACGTGTAAAAGCAGTAAGCTGAATATAAAGTGATGTAGTTGTCATGTAGGTATCCACTGCAGCTGTTTGGAGGGAGGAAGGAAGGCACCAGATGGGTTGTTAGGGATGGATGAGTCACTGATTGAAAAGAAGTTGGTTTGGGAGCAGAATCTGTATCAATCTCCCACCATAACAGCCACTACAGGTTGATTAAGTGCTTTGAAGTCAGCTGATAATTGGATTTTTAACATATTAACAAGGCGGCCAGTAAGATGAAAGGTTATTATGGGATAAAACAAGTCTAGACATGCAAATTTATTACATACTATTGAAATTAACTACATTTAGCCAAAACATTTCCACTTGAAGTAACAGATATCAAATATTAAACATCTGTGTGGAGTAGTGATGTCCTTTTGATTCAGTGTCATCTGCCTTGGGCACTACGAGTTGCTGAGTTTTGCTCGAGTTTTACTTGAGTTTTGGGGCTGAATTAGTCGAGCTTTCGTCTTGACCTGAGTCAAAAAATGTCATATCTGAAGATCGGCCCTTAAGTAGTGCTAACAGAATCAGCTCTATTACTTTATCTACATAAGTCTTTAATGTACAACACCTACCCACACAAAAAGATCAAGCACTATTTATTCTGTCAGGTTAAGATCGGGGTTTGGACTAGACACGTGACTGAGGTGTCTTCTTGGGCCAGATGAATCTCTCAGAGTTACTTCTCAAATCTTGAAAAGGGATAATGGAAAGATTAAAGGGAAATATTTTCCTTATTTTTGCTCATAACACTGTTACAATAGCCAGAGTTTTACATTTTTGGTAGTAATCCATATGAACCAAATATACGAAGCAGGTTTCAGACAGGTATAAAGGACAGACTTTTAGTCAGTATTTCTGAATTAGTTTTGGATCTGTATGATTTTTGACCCACTTGCCATTCATAATAAGCTTGGCTTAAAGAAGGACAAGCTTGAAGAGCTTGTTTTAGGTAGCGGAAGAAGCTTCACCAAGTCCCAGAATGATGGAAAACTACTCTAGCGGAGTGCAAGAATAAAAATATGGAGCTGGAATAAATCTCTTTTAATATCTGCTTGTTTATTTTTTTCCCAAAAATTCCAAAGGATTTATTTAGCTTGCTATTCATGAGGGCGTGGTGCTAGCGTTAATTTATTCAAAAACCTAAAAAAACAAACAAATAAACAAACAAACAAAGTGCTTGGAGTTTCCCAAATTACCAAATTTAGGTCATCAATTCAGCAAGAATGTGTCAAATCTTTTTTGGATTATATATCAACCTCTCTCAGCTAAAATTGGATACGGGGAACAAACAGCTTCTGTAGCTCTTGTCACATGCTCATCACATGTCTTGACCTTTTATTTCTTTTATTTCTTTTGGCATCCTTTGCTGGACTCTTGGCAATCTTGCATCCCCCTAATCTCGAGCGAGAACAGTCTTCAGAGACCCTTTCTATTTCGTGATTTTGATCACTTTTCGTTAGTGTCAGGCATGATAGGATTATGGAATGAACTAATATACATTTATTCTACTTAAGTCAATGTCTTCTCCTGTAATTTTGATCACCAGAATTATATTTGATACATCAGCTTTGATATTGAATATGACTTTTAATGGATTGGCTTGTGCTTGTACTTACCATTGGTGAACGAAATTCCAATTTCTATCCTGCCATCCTTGTTAATGAAACGCTCATCTAGTCCAGGATTGCAGGAACTATACAAAACGAGCAATATAATACAAAGAGATAGTCTGTGTTCAATGAAAAAAAGGTACCTAAACACGTTTGCAGCTTAACTGCATTAACAATGAACAAGTGTAATTATCCAGAGCAGGTGTTGATGATGGTGCATATACATATTTAGCATTTATAGCTCAAAATGATCTTTAAATATTAATAACACAAAAATAGTAAGTCCTGACCCACCATATGGAATCTACTCAGGCTTCAGTCAGAATAAAAATGACTGCATACTCCTTCTTACACTACATATTTTTACTATGTACAATTACGTTGTTTGTGTCTTGGCAGACAAAGCCTCTGTGCAGTGTTGCTTTGTGCGTGTATACAATAATAAACACATTTACATTTGCATCTAAAGTGTGCACTACTCAATGGTTTTGTCACGTCTTCATGTATTTCTTATAACCCAAATTTCTCTCATCTCTTTCAGTATGAACAATGATTCAGAGGATGAACTGGAAAAGGAAGAAGGTACAGAATGGCGCAAGGACTATTAAAATGAGTTAAAATGGATATAAGACTATCCTGTTTCATAGTGGGGATATCACAAGTTCACTCCAGCTCAGATTTGAACTGTTTATTTATATAGATTGCTTTGGCAGTTATTGCCCACGTTTGGAGATATGGGTTGATAAAATGTTTACCTTCTCTTAGATAAAATAGGACTAAAGGGAAAATGCTTTCTGCTACAAAAAAATGAAATTGAAACACTCAGCAGCAATGTCTCTTTCAATAAATCATGACCTAGTAACTGAAGAAAAAAAAAATCCACAAACCTTTTGTGAGCAGTTTCATGCCAGAAATCTTTTTTTTCAACAGTCTAAATCCACCAATCAATAGAAGTGTGCAGCTAGTTAACACTTGGGACACCATCAATGTTTCCATGCTGTCACAAGCATGAGACTGTTCAGTTCAGTTCAGTTTTTATTTTTATTGTGCCAAATCCCAACAACAGTTGCCTCACGGCACTTATTATTGTAAGGTTAAAGCCCCGCAATAATACAGAGAAAGCACCAACAATGAGATGACTCCCTATGTGCAAATATTTGGTGGCAGTGGGAAGGAAAAAACCCCTTTAAACAGAACGAAACTGAATGAACCAGGCTCGGTGAGGGGCAGCCATCTGCTATGACTGGTTGGGTGTGAGGGGAGGAAGATTCAGAAACAGACCCTTCTCTTGTGATTTTCACACATAACGTTCTGAAGATGAGTTTCATTTAATTCCCTTAGATTATTGATTATATAAGTGGGCACACTATAATATAAATTGCACTAGAGAGCAGAGGAAAAAGTCACATTTGCCACAATCCAGCTCAGTGGCAACATATATCATTATTAGGTAAATATTCCTACAGCCAGGTAGACTTACCCAAGAGTCACAGAGGTATTTACCCAGGCTAAAAAAAATACATATTTAATTTTTTTGATTAACATAACTTACTAAACACATTCTCATAACTTCTTCATCTGGTTTCCAATTACAGAAGAAGCAGGGACCTCTGAGGCTCGTCCGGGACTTTTGCGGCCTACGCCTGTGTGTCCCGTCATTGTAAAGCCGGAGATTGATGTAGAGGTAAGAGTAAAGTAAAAGAATGGGGATTGTAAGCCACCAGGAGGAGTACTGATTCATCCTTCAAAAGTTTAAAACAATCCGTTTTGATTGGAACTTGCTCCTATGTTGGCTCACCTGCCAAGAGAGGACACACATTCAGTAAATTACTTGTTGGACTGGTTAAAATGATCTTTATCTGCATGCAATTTTTGACAAATTCACATTTAACAGGTTAGCAGGCTAAGTGCTTTATCCCTCTAGACAAGCCATGTATCTAATAAAACATAACAAACATGTTTGATCAACTTTTGAACCTTATCACCATTGGCTTGGTTGTTTGTGTTGTTCACAGCTCATTGAAGCTTCAGCAACAACTTAGGTAACGTCTCGCTTCTTACTGCTGTATGTCTCTTTTTCAGTTTCTCATCACATTCGTGACGCATGCTGTTCAAGTTTGTGCACACTTTAATTTGAATTCACATCTCTTGTACTTTTACGTAACTCAGGACACTAATATTTTTTTTACCCACATGTGATCACATCTAATATCTTCTATGCTTCCATTGTTTGAAACAGTACTGATGTCCACTGTTGTGCTGCGATGTATTCTTAGCTTTCTTTATGTGGAAATGGTGCTAATATTTGTGCTAGATTGCACACAGTGGTGCACAAAAAAGGAAAACTGAACCACTGAAAACTGAACCACTGTAACCATGCTGATATCTTCAAAGGAAGCGATTAAAAAATAAAATAAAATAAAGAAAATTCAGGAATATAAAGAAAAGCATATTGTGTATATTGCGCATTCATGTGGGATAATAATAATAAAAAAGATTTCCCCCAGTGGGAAGTCATTCTTCTGAGATTGTAGTGCTCCTGTGCCTTTAAGTCTGAATACGGAACCAATATGGATCATACAAAAATGTGTTTTATTTCATTGCTTGGAGTTTTTAAACATGTTCATGAAATCTTCAAGTATCTTATCATTAAAACTCGCTTTATGAGGTATACTTTCTGCAAATATCTAATCAGTTAATCACATAGCAGCAACACAACTTAGGCATGTACACAAGATGGCCCATATGTTCTGCTTAAGCATCAGAATGGGGAGGGGGGAGCCACTCTGAATGTAGCATGGTTGTTGATGGTATTTCAGAGAACTGCTGATTTTCATGGATTTTCCAACATAACCATTTCTAGGGATTTTAGAGATTGATCAGAAAAAGAGAAACTATCCAGTGATAATGCAAATAACCACTCTTTACAACCAAGGCATGCACAAAACACCTGAATGGACAGTGCATTGAATCTTGAAGCAGATGGTCTACAGCAGCAGAAGACCGCACCAGGTGCCGCATATGTCAGCTAACAATGACAGAAACAGGAAACTGAGAGAAACCTGGACAAATGTTGTCAGGTCTACTGTTGTTGTTTATGGTGGTGGAACAGCAAGATTCATGTAATGGATCTGTGATGCTATCGTGTCAATATGGATGAAAATTTCCGAGGAATGTTTCCAGCACCTTTTTGAATATATGGCATGAAGAATTGGGGTAGTTCTAAAGGCAAAAGGAGGTATACCTAATAAAGTGGTCAGTGGGTATATATTCATCTGACTTGCTGCACAATTAGCATGAAGACTGAAAACATGGCAATGGAGCAAAAATGCTTCTGTGGAAATCGATATACCAGCTTCCATAATAACTGTGTATTTTAGAAGGGAAAGTTTAATTAGTTCTGCATAACATAAAAAAATTCTCACACTCCACCTCCTAACAGAATAACATGATAACGTGTGATCTGATATTAATATCTCACAATACTACAAAAGTGTCTGTTACGCTGTCCTGGCTCATTCTCATGTGTCACCTCAGTGATCACATGCATGCTTTTTCCTTTTAGCAGAACATTAAAAAAACAACCCACAAATAAATAAAGGTGAACATCATTTCCCATCATTCCTTGTATCATTCCGTAGGTTTTGAGAATCTGGGCTTTATAATTCCCAACAAACTCATACCCCAACTTTTGTATAACACATTAAAGTTACACAAAGGCATTAAAACACTGATCTCATTAGCACTCCTTTATTTGAATTGATGGTTTCCCTGAAGCTTTTTAGTCATAGATTGTTGGTCTACAAAGTGATCTTAAATGATTCAGCTGCACATTTGACCAAAAATCAACAATAAAATTCTTTTAAGTCAAATTAAAAACCTTCTTGGAAAGTAGAATCCATTTTTTGGATTAACTGAACAAATATTGCATTATACACAATTATATGATTTTTGTGAAATAGATGAATCTAGCTACTTCCTGCTGACTAAAACCCACCTGCCCCTATCTCAGCTGTTACCGTTTTCATATTTGATGTGTCCAGCTTTTGCATATGTTCTTCTTGGTGCTGTTTTTCTTGTCTGTCTTTTGGTTTTATATTGCAATGATTTCATCTCAATATGACCTTGAATGTTTGTCAGGGCAGCCTCATAGCAGGGAAAACTCCTTTTCCATTATTTGCTAATGGCTATTTTCCTTTTTTGAATAAAATCCTGTTAAAATGTAAATAAGTATTTTTAGGCATTACATTTGGTCCAGTCCCTGCTGTTCAAACAGCCACCCTCACTTCAGTATGTGTAAACGTGGGAAAACTTGAGGAGAAAAGAATTAAGAAAATTGCACCGATCCAATTTTCTTCTCCTTTGGATTCACTTGTGCCGCGTGGAGTTCACTTAAAGGAAGGAATATTTAAACTACATTCGTTGTTTTGCCCTCCTGGGAGGGAAATTCGAGGGAAGGAGATTTTTCCCCCATAATTTTAAAAAAAGATTCCTGTCCACCTCTTCATACTGCTCATGAATTGTTTGCATTTCCTCACAGCTAAAACTTCAGCATGAGTTCCTTTTCACAGAAAAGCATTAGTATGCAGTATAATGCTTTTCTTCCCTCAGCGTGCAATGTTAATGTGGAATACAAATGTTCCTCCTTTGTCTCCTAGCTATCACTGTTGTCTTGCTGTTTTACTTCAGCAGATCGCAGCTCACCCGTCTGGTCCCTTTGTCCCACCCAACCAAGAGCTTCCATCTGATGATGGCACGCTGTCCACTCACACTGTATTCCCAGGTGAACAGTTTCCTTCTATGTCTTCCCAAACCACACATCAAACTAATTCATCCTTTGTACTCTGTGCCAGCGAATCAGTCCAGCCAAATAAGTCACAGCCTTTACCCAGACTCCACTGTGAATTAGGCAACCAGACGTCTGAGGAGCGCGTAGACAGTAGTCCCTCTACGCCGCCGCCTGCCTCACATCCTTTTCTGCAACGAGACTCCAAACCCAGATCAGACATCTCCCAGACTGGCAGAGAGGAAATCCCTTTAGAAGCATCTTGCATGTGTCTTCCTGCCACAGAGACAACAACAGGAGAGGATGGAGCTGGAGAAAAACCAGCCAGTCATCCTTGCCTTGAACTGCCTGCTGAGCGTGCCTGTACTCCCAGTGTGACACAGGGCTTTGAGCGAGACGTTGCTGTGGGAATGAGCGAACCTGTTGAAGGATTATCAGAAAGTTCCAGCAGGTCTGCAGCAAATCATGAAGCCAGTACGCTTGCACTTTTGTCTCCCGTGGCTGAGACTCAGACATCTCTGAAAGCAGAAGGTGAAGCTCTACCATCACCCGAGCTTCCAGAGAACACCTCAGTGAGTACAGGTGTCACTGAGGTGAGTGAAAACGTAACTCAGTCTGTCTCAGCCTTGGAAGAGAAGGAAGAAGCTGCAGATATTTCCCCCGATACGTCATTAGAGAATGAACCAAGCACAGCGTCAGAGTTTTCCGAGCCCCAGTCTGAGCATAACAGAAACAGGAATCTTCTGCCATCTGTCATATTTCTGAGTGGAGTTGTCTCCCTCTCGATAGTGTTGCAGGAACCCACTGCCCTCTTCCTAATTGGACTAATTTTCGTTTTGTGCCGTTTGTGATTTTGCCCCAAATATTCTGTCAAGCTAAGTGCCTTTTCATGGTTTTAAAATAAGCCATCAAGCTAAGCAACATGCACACAAAGTCCTCTTGAAGTCATGCTTATTTTATGCAAAGTCAAATAGAAGGAGAAAGTAATTATGGCGATATTTTCGTACACATTGTGTTTTCTATAGATATAATAATAATCACCCCATTTGTACAACATTGTGAACCTAGTATTAAAGCACAGTGTAGTATTAGAGCTGTTTTGTAAGTGATCACTAATCACTAACCTTTTCTTGTCATGTGGAGAGTCTCTGTGGTGTTATGTTCTAGTTTATTTAGTCACTATCACAATGCACTTTCACTGTTGTCAATGTAGCAAAGCCTGTTGTTTAAGGACTTTGACTTTTGTGAATTTCAAGTCGTTATCGCTTCAAAAACGAAACAAAAGAACAACACAAAGATTACCCTAGTGGTAAATATAAGAGACTTACTATAAAAATGTGATTTTGTTTACAAAATGCAAAAGAAAAACATGGTCATGTGTGTGTGTTTTTGCCTTAATACTTAGTGAAAACAAGACGGAAATGGTAGCCGCTTGAGCGACAGCAAAACAAGTGGAAAACTGTTCACCTCACCGTGGCACTTTTCATTTCACAGGTCTTCCTTCTTGCTCGTAAATGCATATTATTCTTGTTGTAGCGCAGCACTCAGCTCGTAACATAATAGACAATCTCACAGACAGACGGAGGCACTGATTGATACGTTTGGAGTGGTGAAAGTTTTTGCAGTGTATTGCCATTAAACATGGTCTCATATCCTGTACCACTTTGTGTCTTTGCTTATCTGTGTTTTTCTTTTCATGCAGTCTGCAGAACAAACACGAACAACACGACAGCTTTATGCACAGTAATGACACTGCGGTGCAGAACAGATCGCATTGAAGGCACTGACACACCTTTAAAATAACATCAGAGCCTTCAGCGCCTCCACAACTCGAGCGTGTTCAGCTTTGCTTGAAGTGGAAATACACAGACAGCAACATGAGCTGCGGATAGAAGCCAAAGGTCAGGCATTGCACTGAAGTCATGGTAGCTTATAGTATACACTGGCCACTGTAAGCTGAGCTCAGTGTTTGAAGGCTGAAAATTCTCTGGAAATCTCCTCGGATGTTATACGATAAGACGGCACCTCTCGTCAGGTCTACCTCTTATATTTAGGACTTAGTCTTAATATTCTATCTTCATTTTTGGCCAAATAAAGCTTTAATAACTTTAAACTTTTGATCCTTGGATGTTAGGCACTCTGTGGATTATATGCAGATTACGCATTAGCCATAAAACAGAGTATTCATCCAAGCACATTTGTATTTTGCAGATTTCTGCAGGGAAAATAGCAGGAGTGACTAATTTGTGTGGTGGTCACACACATGCAGGGTGGAAAACATTAAAAATTTAGGCAATCTGAAAGCTGTCCCAAGCAGGATAACTGGTGGGAATTTTATAACACCCACCCTTTTGAATAATTACTGTTTTTTTCAGGTAGTCCATGTTAAGCAGTGATTTCAAAAGGAGATCTGCGAGCGCTGTGGCAATATTAAGAAACAGCAGCTAGAAGGGCATCGTTTTCCACCCAGGGTGTGGCGTCACCCTCAGCTTGTTTGAACAGAGGTATTTCATCATGAGAAGCAATTGCAACAGCAGGAGTACCAGCTTTTATTTAAATATTGTCTGTGACAGTGAAATCCTCCAAGACAAGACAAATCGGATTTTCCATAATACCCCTCCTTTAACTTGTCATTGTACTCCTCCAAGCGTGGCCTGTGAATGTTTATTGGTTTTATCAGGTCCATCACAGTTATCATTTCACACATATTTGCCCGTTTAGTCCTTTTTTTATTTTTTTTGTTCAGACGTTTCCATTTCCCAGATCCACAGATTTCATTAAACCCCCTCAAAACATTTATTAAATGGAGGATAAAAACAAATGAAAAGAAATGCTTCGATGTTCAGTATTGTGCACTTATTTTTAGGCTGTACGCCTAAAGCTGTGAGCCTCTAATATATAGTTGTCATTATTATTGACTGTTGTCCTTCAGAAGGCTTTTTAATATCATGCATCAGTGTTGTGAAAACATTTGAGCTTCTTTTCAACCAAAGGATCCATGATCCTAACACTTATAATAACTGTATTTCATGTCACCTCTGTTTAATATCAAAGAAAGTTAATAAGCCTCATTAAATGGATACAAAAATTCTAATTTATCATTTTCATTGAGCTTTGGTTTACTTGTACACTGGTGTTCAAAGACCCAGAACTTTATTCTGTAACAGATGATGGCATCTTATGGCATCTGCCATTGCCAGAAGGAAACAGAAGGCCTTTTGTGACCTTCAGGTTGCCTTATTGTTTTACGTTTGGAAACACAAACTATCAGTTAAATATCTAACCTCAGCATTGTGCTGCTGTCAATGTTCAACTAAGCACTGTTTGTGCCTGGTGAACATTTAGTTCTGTTTATATGTTTGAAATGACAAACTGAAGCTTCTGATTATATTCATCTACATGCTGCATTAGATTAAAGATCATTATAATATTAGCTAGCTTTGCCTTCATAATTTAATTCCTATTTTGTTTTAGCTGATGCACTTTTCTTTAAACACTGGGGTATTTCACATGGTTTTAACCTGTTGCTTTTGTTTGTTTTGTAATGCAACTAAATAAAGTAATATAAATTAAAGGTTTTATGTCAAAAATATTTGACATGTATTTCACATTTAGTATAATCAGCTTACATAGTTTGGCTGGTTAGCGTGTTACCATTTTCAAAGGGCAGTTGATTTCACAATAAAATCTGGGACACTCATTGTGAGGCTAAAAACTCAAATTGTTGTATTAATGATAATCAAATTATTTATTTGTATATTTATATTCAAACAGTAATGCTAACAAGGTCCTAAAGACAGAAAATTAGATTTCATGCAGTAACATGTAAAACTCTTTTTTTTTAAACTTAAACCTAAGTTGCTCATCATTACCATGAATGATGTAGAAACAAAAAAGCAGAATATACATTAGTAAAACTAACTAACATGTTAAACTGTGCATCCCAGAGTGAGAACTCTTGTTAATAATAAAAAATAAATAAATAATGATGAAACGTGTTTTTTTCCAGCCGTAGTCGAGCATATATTTTTAACAGCAGAAATTTCGTAAACAGAGGTGTATCCAGAAGGGGGTATGGGGTGGCACCAGCTATGACTGAAACTTCAGTTTAAAACCTTTCTCAGACATTTGAGTTAGTAAGTTGAACTTTTGCAATACCTGACTCAAAATTTTGACATAACAGCCAAAATTTTAACTCATGAGTGGCAATTTCAAGCTTCCATACAATAGAGCATGATTTTCAGCTCCTAAAAATAAAACTAGAGGCGCAAACAACCAGAAACCGCAGTAAAAGCCTGACAGATCCAGGAGGATATGATGCATTAGGTGATATTCATGGATTCTGTACTTCAGACAGTTCTTGACTGGAAATTATTTTCCATCAATTATTAAAACAGTCCTTGTATTTAAAATTATGATAATTTGTCTAATTACTTTTGGTCCATTGTAAATGGAGGAAAATGCATTAAAATGGCTTTAATTACTAAACAGGGGCGACTGTGGCTCAGGGGTTTGGGAAGCGTATCTGTAACCGGAAGGTCGCCGGTTCGATCCCCGGGCTCCAATCTATTATTATTATTATTAGTTAACAGATATGTGAGGGGCGGGAGCATGGGGTGGATGAGCTGAAATATAATTTGCCTTGAAACATAGTACTAGTTACTGCTAATCTTACATCACCACTGGATGAGCGCATGGATAGGAACAGTAGAAATGTAACTAAATTCATTTCCTCAAGTACTTTACTAAGGTGTAGGTTTAATGTAAAGTATTAAATCTTTAGTTTAGAATTATTCTGCAGATTAACTACATTATTATAGATCAACCTACCCTGCAATATATAAGTATTGAAAATAATCAACAGCTGGAACATTAAAGAGAAATATATGTATACACATACATGGATCAATAATAGTGATCATAGTGAGTATGCTTACTTTAGCCTACTCAGTATTTAGAATATATATATATTTTGATTAAAAAGCTTGCACGCTATAACCTACTTAAGTAGGATTGCAGCATTTATTTAATAAAAAGTCTAAAGTCTTTTCCCCCCACTTTGATAAAAGAAATTATCAAACACAAAATTATATTTACAGTCTTGTGCAGCATCATGGGTCACATAACACAGTCTTGTTCATTCACATATTGTACACCTACCAGCATCAGCGTAACTTTGTGCTGAACATTGGGGGGGGTGTCAAGATCTCTGTCTTAATAAATAAATAAATCTGGGTAAATTCCCAGATGATTAAACATGCAACTATTTTGCTGGTAATACCTGAAATGAGTAAAGAAAATCAACAGCCTATTTATGCAGAATAATTCATAATTTCATGGGGGGGTGGGGGGGCTTATTTTGATTGGGTCTGATTATTGGGGGGATCATAACCCCCCTAACCCCCCTGGAAATTATGCCCCTGGTGTCCACTGTTTTCACCCCAGATGGCAGATGGCTGTCCCTCCCTGAGTCTCGTTCTGCTGGAGGTTTCTTCTTATTAAAAGGGAGTTTTTCCTTCCCACTGTCGCCAAAGTGCTTGCTCAAAGGGGGTCATATGATTGCTGGATTTTCATCTGTTTATTTTGTATTATTGTAGGATTTTTGCCTTACAATATAAGGCACCTCGAATCAATTGTGTGTGCTCGTTCTGGTGATGTTTTTAGGTTCTTGCAGAACTTTAAATGAGATGTTTTTCCACTTTCAAAAAGGAGGCCCAATATTCTTCCAGAGCCCCCAGAATTCCTTGGACCCCGTCAGGCCCATGTGTTCCAGTCAACCCAGTTTGTCACCGAGGACAGGAGCACCAGTGTAAGACGTAGCTAGTTGACAGGTGGAGCTCCTCAGTGCACCCATACTGGACAAAACTGGCGCGTCATTCAGAGAACATCACTTTCAAGTTATTGGGCCCACAGTACTGCACAGGTCCGCCTCTCTCTCCCTCCCTCCCTGCCTCCCTCCCCCTCTCTCTCTCCCTCCCGCTCTCTCTCTCTCCGAATAAAACCGACGGTTTCCGCGAATGTGCGAGCTGCCTCCTTGCAAGCAGCCATAATTGGGATTATTCAGGAATAATTCGCCTAATCCAGCCGTGCTGTTTTTGTTTTTGTTTTTCCTATTTTTTTTTTCATTTGATTTCGGCAGCGTCTGCGATGTGAAGCCCTCTGTGCCGTCGCTGGATTTGTCCAAAAATCATGTATTTGTTCTGCCACGGAGGCTTTTATTTTGGACCATTAAGATGTAGTCCACCTTCGCTGGACAGCAAAACAAAGACTGCATAATAACAGTTCAGGGTAAATACATCGCCTTTTACGCCGAAAGATGGGGGAAAGAGACGTATCGCGGCTGTTGTCTGTGTGGACTAATTGTCCTGGTGCCACTAGTCAATATAAACGCCAAGACGATTCATTTAGGGGATGCGCGATCTTTTTTTCCTCTCTAACGTTTGTGGGTGGGTTATTATAAGCATTGAAAATCTGACATCATTTGGATATATGAACAGAGCAAGATATGTTGTTTTTCCACCGCGTGTGTTTCTAGGCTTCTGGAAACCCATCCTCGACGTGATGCAACATAAAATCTGTTTTCTCGGATGATATTCAGACACCAAATGAGCACCTTCTTCTCCATGAAAATGTAAAAGGGTGGCGGTGTATTTTTTTTTGTGTGTGTGAGAGAGAGTGGTTTTTGTATGCATATCTTTTAAATGTGGCTTTACATCAGTCCTCATCCTGGATTTTTTTTTTTTTGATCAGCTGTTGATTATTAGGTAGCCTCTGCCCGTCTTATGTTTATTAAATGTTGCTCAGTTCGCTTTCCTCGCGATGGATTTATGCATAACAGGTGTTGTTTGAGCCTGAGATCACACAGCAAGACCATGCAGCTTTATTATGTGCTTTTCTCTCCATTTAACGAACACTGAAGCAAAGCGACTGGGATCCCTTTTTTGTTGGGTTTTTTTTTTTTTGCTTTTTTTTTTTTTTACCGTGAGGAAAGAAAGGATGCAAAAATGAGGGGATGAAAGGTAGGTTATTATCTCTCTCCCCCTCTCTTTCCATCTCTTTATCGCTCTCTCTCAGTCACACACACACATACACCCACACACACACAATAAAAAAAAATGATGGTGATTTTGACACCTGTTCATGTGTTTTTCACTCCACCCTGTGTTTCAGGCCTAGCTGCCATGGCAGCCATTTAATCAGGTGAAATGATATTTGTCAAGGTGGCAGAGAGCTGCTATGATTGAAAAAAGAATAAAGAAAAGAAAACAAGCTTACAGTTATGGCAAATCGTATTGGGTGTCATGGCCTACATAGACAAGGCCCACCCATACAAGCAGCACGACTGAGTATTGTTATCATCCTCTACCCACAAATGAGTTTGCAGGTTTCAGATTTGGTTTATATTTGATTTTTCATTCCCAGAATAAGGTTTACGTTTCCTTGCTTCAACACTGATGTCTGCCCGTGGTGATGGCAACAGTGGTTTTATCACCCTGTTGAGTAACATAACACATTTCTCTCTCTCTC